ACGAAGATGTAACAGAGGAATCCATAACACGGGTGTCATTCACAGTGGGGTGGGGAGGCGGGACAGCTGGTGGCCAGCGTGGACCTGCTTCCAGGGCGGCGCTACACTCGAGGCAGCCGCAGGTTCTCCACCCCCATCCAAGTGTTTCTCTTTGGGGGACTTTTCTAGTGGGGACAGGAGAGAGGGGAGGGGAGACAGGCTGGAACTTTTTTTTTTGGTAACTCTGCACAGCAAACTGGCATTTTACCTACTTCCTGGCTTCAAGGGTAGGGAGGCCGGGCCAGGAGCCAGGGATGGGGAAGCCCTGTGCCAGCAGCTGTCTGTGCTGCGCACACAGTCCCAAGGGGCGCTGCTGCCTGCTGGGGGCCTGGTCCACTTGTGGCCGGAGGGCGAGGCTGGTGTTGACGCAAAGTAGTTTTTCAACTCCCCTTCTATCTGGTTTTCTGATCATCACAAAAGCTCTCTGATGCCCACTATGAAGCTGGCCCCTCCCCGACAAACAAGCAGTCACCAGCAAGGCATCTGGGAAGGAAGAGTGGGTTGAGTTCCTCTCGTCCATGCCCCTAAAGTCAAAGTCACATGGGATCTCTTTAAAGTTTTCTTGTCCAATACAAAGCTAATAAATTTCCTCGGTGCTCTTCAAACACATGGTTTCTATTACAGTACTTATTAAGCTGACACGTGGTTTAATTAGTTGTGTAAACACATTTTCCCCATCAGATTGCATTCTTTGAGGTTAGGGATGTGTTATGTTTATTTCAGAATACTTTGTCCTTAACCTAGTGCTCTGCATACTGCAGGCTCAACACATGTCTAAGTGAACTGAATTAATTATCATATACCTCACTGAATTATGAAATTTTGTTACTGGAAGAATTAACATAAAATGAAATTAATGTCTCTAATTAGAGAAAGAGAACAGGAACTAATTAATTTGTCAACAGTCTTGAAACAAACTAGTGAAAGAACCAGGACCTAAAAAAACAAAATCCAGTAACCCTAAGCATTATGACAAACTATATAGTTTCTCACAATTTTCTGTTTCCTCATCACTGATGGGCTAATTGTTTGATTTTTTTTAAATATAAACTTTTATGTATACCTTTCTTGTCCCCACTAATCATATATAGCATGTAAATAAAAGTCAAACTAAAAATCAGTGTAATTTTATGTCTAGTTTTAACAGAAGTCAAGTCTAAAAGTACAGGAAATCTTGTCACAGGTAGACGTGCTAGAGCAATACCAAGAAATAAAGGAATCCACACAACACTCAATCTTGGGTTCCATTCCAGGTAAAATTTAGGCATGCTACCAGCTACTGTTTCAAATTCTGATCTCTGGTAAAGATTGAATTCGGGCAAAATGAAGGTAAAATTAGAAGGGTTTCTGTTCTGATTCTGTTTATAGTTTGGTAGACCCTCCATAATTTTACTAATGGCAGCACGTGTATTGGAGGCACTGATCCTGTGAAAATGAGACGAGCTTGGATTCTGAAGTTTTTCATTCCAGTTGAGGCATTCTTAGCAGAGAACGTGGGTCAGCATCACTGCTGAAGCTTTTTCACCTGGAAGTATGCTGGGCCCCACTCCTGGAAATCCTGAGTCACTGGGTCTAGGGAGGGTTCTGGGAAATTGTATTTTTAACAATTCTATAGGCACTTCTAGTGTGAAAAAACAGTTAATTAACTATTGTATAGTGTAATCATTCCTTGAGAAAGATACCATGTCCTTTTGGTCTCTCCAGTGTCTAGCTATTGCTTTGGCAAGTGCTCAGTAGCTGTTAAATGGAGAAATGAATTTTATTGCTTCTCTGCTGCTGTCTACTTTTATGTAGACACAAAATGCTGCCTTTGTTTAAAACTATAGTCACACAAAAAATGATGTGAGCATCTAGTTCAGGTTAAATGTAAACAACACATTAACACACCAGGCAGGAAAGTCTATTTCCAGGGCGGCGCTACACTCGAGGCAGCCGCAGGTTCTCCACCCCCATCCAAGTGTTTCTCTTTGGGGGACTTTTCTAGTGGGGACAGGAGAGAGGGGAGGGGAGACAGGCTGGAACTTTTTTTTTTGGTAACTCTGCACAGCAAACTGGCATTTTACCTACTTCCTGGCTTCAAGGGTAGGGAGGCCGGGCCAGGAGCCAGGGATGGGGAAGCCCTGTGCCAGCAGCTGTCCGTGCTGCGCACACAGTCCCAAGGGGCGCTGCTGCCTGCTGGGGGCCTGGTCCACTTGTGGCCGGAGGGCGAGGCTGGTGTTGACGCAAAGTAGTTTTTCAACTCCCCTTCTATCTGGTTTTCTGATCATCACAAAAGCTCTCTGATGCCCACTATGAAGCTGGCCCCTCCCCGACAAACAAGCAGTCACCAGCAAGGCATCTGGGAAGGAAGAGTGGGTTGAGTTCCTCTCGTCCATGCCCCTAAAGTCAAAGTCACATGGGATCTCTTTAAAGTTTTCTTGTCCAATACAAAGCTAATAAATTTCCTCGGTGCTCTTCAAACACATGGTTTCTATTACAGTACTTATTAAGCTGACACGTGGTTTAATTAGTTGTGTAAACACATTTTCCCCATCAGATTGCATTCTTTGAGGTTAGGGATGTGTTATGTTTATTTCAGAATACTTTGTCCTTAACCTAGTGCTCTGCATACTGCAGGCTCAACACATGTCTAAGTGAACTGAATTAATTATCATATACCTCACTGAATTATGAAATTTTGTTACTGGAAGAATTAACATAAAATGAAATTAATGTCTCTAATTAGATAAAGAGAACAGGAACTAATTAATTTGTCAACAGTCTTGAAACAAACTAGTGAAAGAACCAGGACCTAAAAAAACAAAATCCAGTAACCCTAAGCATTATGACAAACTATATAGTTTCTCACAATTTTCTGTTTCCTCATCACAGATGGGCTAATTGCTTGATTTTTTTTAAATATAAACTTTTATGTATACCTTTCTTGTCCCCACTAATCATATATAGCATGTAAATAAAAGTCAAACTAAAAATCAGTGTAATTTTATGTCTAGTTTTAACAGAAGTCAAGTCTAAAAGTACAGGAAATCTTGTCACAGGTAGACGTGCTAGAGCAATACCAAGAAATAAAGGAATCCACACAACACTCAATCTTGGGTTCCATTCCAGGTAAAATTTAGGCATGCTACCAGCTACTGTTTCAAATTCTGATCTCTGGTAAAGATTGAATTCGGGCAAAATGAAGGTAAAATTAGAAGGGTTTCTGTTCTGATTCTGTTTATAGTTTGGTAGACCCTCCATAATTTTACTAATGGCAGCACGTGTATTGGAGGCACTGATCCTGTGAAAATGAGACGAGCTTGGATTCTGAAGTTTTTCATTCCAGTTGAGGCATTCTTAGCAGAGAACGTGGGTCAGCATCACTGCTGAAGCTTTTTCACCTGGAAGTATGCTGGGCCCCACTCCTGGAAATCCTGAGTCACTGGGTCTAGGGAGGGTTCTGGGAAATTGTATTTTTAACAATTCTATAGGCACTTCTAGTGTGAAAAAACAGTTAATTAACTATTGTATAGTGTAATCATTCCTTGAGAAAGATACCATGTCCTTTTGGTCTCTCCAGTGTCTAGCTATTGCTTTGGCAAGTGCTCAGTAGCTGTTAAATGGAGAAATGAATTTTATTGCTTCTCTGCTGCTGTCTACTTTTATGTAGACACAAAATGCTGCCTTTGTTTAAAACTATAGTCACACAAAAAATGATGTGAGCATCTAGTTCAGGTTAAATGTAAACAACACATTAACACACCAGGCAGGAAAGTCTACAGAGTATGAAGTAAAGGCAGCATCTTAGAGACAAGTTTCAGAGCCTCAAAGGACAGCACTGAGAACAGACTTGGTTTTGCAGTGATCCAAGACATTTCAGTAATGTGAAGACTCATGAAAATGATCAAATATGCAACCTATTTCTAGTACATTCCTTTATAATGTATGTTTTCTGTAGAAAAATTATTAAAATTTTCATTTTTGTAACTATGTACAAAGAATCAGAGTTGAAAGTGCATTTTTTAAAATGTTTACAAAGAAATTCCATATAATTTTCTAACTCTTAAAAGATCAACCTACTGAACTCTAAATAGTCATAATAATGGCTTTATGCATTTATTCTAAAGAGCTTCAGAAATAAAATCTGGATATAATAATGTAGTCAGGGGAATACTTACACTCTCACTCTGAAAAGGATTTAAGAAATTTCCCCCCATTTCGCCATCATCCCTTGGAGTGCCCGGCTGATTACTCAGGCTCATATTATTGGGAGAATTCTATAAAAAAAAAATTTAGAAAACAAAGCATTTTTAAGATTTTAATTTCCCTTTTACACTGTACTGTTTCAAACATGGAATCTATAGCATTATCTCTAAGGACAAAGTAGATATAATTCCTATGTCAGACTTCTACCAGGTATTCAGTTCATTCTTAGTACCTTGACAAGTACTATATACTTTCCCAAATGAAAATTAAAAAAACAGAAACTCCAAATAACTCACCATAACTCTTCATCTTAATCTCACAATCAATATTTATTCAAAATCTCACCTTCAGTTTACGGAATTCCTAGGACTCTGGAGAGTTTAAGAAACATTCCCAGGAGGGCCATGATGAACAGACTGGCTACCCACTGATTCGACAAGATGGAACAATGCCTTCCCTGGGTGATTTTACTAACCAGACTCGAAAGGTCACTATTTTCATAAACAATTTCCCTTTAATTCTACATGCATGTTACATAAGTAACATGATTTTAGCTATTACTTTTATATGAAACATAAGGGAAAAAGGAAAATAGTTAACGATAGTTAAGAACAAGAGGAATAAATACCCTAGAACTTGAGAATTCAGTATGTATTTGCAGAGAGAAAGGAGGCTCCTGTGTGGAGGAATCTAGAATTCTTTCCAACCATTTGTTTGAGGAGACGTATTCAAAACTCTTAAGATAAAATGGTTGATAGGCGCTATCGAGTCAAATACTAAGTTAGCAGTATATTTCTTTACGCTCCATTTACATTTTCTAGTCCCATCATTACTGCGTGATTTTAGCCACGTGAGGTCACCTGACGCGCCAGCTCGAGGAGAAGGCAGAGCGGCAGCGGCTACAGGGCATGCGCACACCGGCAGCTCGTGTCACTCACTGAGGGACTCTTGGAAAAACAGGCCGCAGGGGTGAGAGCTCGTTATTTCAAACGGAAGCCAGGTTTTGGAGTCTTTTCCTGAGTCACTGCCATTTTATATTCTGTTTCTGAATAAGTTTTTAGATTTTTTTTTAAAAGAAAATTTCTGAGGATTCTGATTTAAGTTATGTCATAAAGATGAGAATGTGTTATTCCCAGAAGAATATATGCTTTTAAAAAATGTGGTTAAAGTGTAAAGCAGAAACAGGTAGACGAGCTGGTGGAAATACAGCTCGTGTCTTGGCGTGCTCTGCACCTCAGAGGGAGGATCTGGGCACACTGATTCTCTGAAGTCCACAGGCACACCATTTGCTAGTGAACCCCACGGGCCCAGGAACCACTGCCTAATGGCGTAGAGAAGGTTCTTTTTTTTGACAACTGTTTTTCCTCTGAAAATGTTAGTTTCCTAAGTATAAAATAACTGGACTTTGAAATGGACAGGGATAACTTAATTTCCTGGAAAAAAAATTAAGTAAAATTGCAGTGCAACTACTTAAGCTATAACTCACTAAAATAAATTATTAATGAACTGTTTTAAAATAAGGAGTAATAATATTGACTTAGTTCAAAATAGGGCAGATTTATTTTAAAAAATATTGTAAGATTTACCCCAAGTCTAGCAGTCTTTTTGGTCCAGACTGATTTGTCATTTCGTGGACAAACTGTAATCGTGGAGTAGAAAATAATCTGCCGCACCTCTATAGGGGTATTTGAGGATGTATTTGGAAGCTGTACACTTGGATGTATTAAAAAAAACAGATGAAACAAGCCCTCTCCATCTTAGTGTGATATTCGGACCCCTGGCCAGAAGCATGCAAGATACCCTGAGAGGAGCAGCCCATCTCTGAATAGGCTGGGTGTTCCCAGACTCTGCTGCACTTCTGCCATGTATCATTCCTTCAAAAACGTTCTCATTTTATATTTAAACATTTTTTAAAATTGGACTCTAGTTGATTTATAATGTTGTGTTTCAAGTGTATAGCCAAGTGAGTAAGTTATACAAATACAAACACCCATCCTTTTTCTTTTTAAGGTTCTCTTCTCATACAGGCCATTACACTGTGCTGAGCATAGTAGGTCCATATTAGTTATTTGTTTTATAAATCTCTCAATTTATCCCTCCCCCCCTTACCCCCTGGGTAACCATAAGCTTCTTTTCTATATCTGTAACTCTATTTCTGTTTTGTAGACAAGTTCATTTGTACCTTTTTTTAGATTCTACATATAAGTGATAACATTTCTTGATTTATAACTCTGAAAGTCTGGCTACATTCATATTGATTCCTGATTCAAAGTATCAATTAAAAAAATATTTAAAGTTTAAAAGTAACAGTACATTAATATTTAAATACTTTTAAAACACTTCATGGTGTAGTTTTCCATGTAGTCTTTTCATAGCGTGGTGACTCAGCGTTAAGCTGTTTTATGAGCAGGTAGTGGTGTATGTAAGAACATTGAGAGGAAAGTTAAAAGGACACATCCTTATACATAACTGAACTACATATCAGATCTCTGAAACTTGTTCCTATCTAGGTCACTGGGTACATTTGAAAATTGTAAAATGATATAGGGCATTAAAAAAAAAAATCTGAGGTAATTTCTGTAAAATGTTGTGAAAACAACAGAAGTTGCTGAATGGGGAGTCTTAAGGAAACCATCAACAGTGCTTTTGATGGTCCCTGGATGACATGATGAGGATATAGGGAAAGACATACTCAGGACTGGCATTGTAGGTTAGGGTGAGGGAGCAGGTTATGGTTCCAAACACCAGCCCAGAGCAGGTTACGGCGGTGGGTGGCAATGAACGGTGTACACGTTGCATGTAACTGCAGCTCTGGTTTTGCGTAGTATCTCCAGTAGGTTTCATCCATAAGACAAGACTATAGTGCACAAAAATGGTTATGTTGGTCAAACAACTTCTTAAAATAGGAAATTTTAAAAATGTAACACTGATGCTTGACAACCTAGAGGGATCGAATAGGGAGGAAAGTAGGAGGAAGGTTTAAGAGGGAGGGGACATGTGTATGCCTGTGGCTGATTCATGTTGATGTATGGCAGGAATCATCACTGTATTGTAAAGTAATTATCCTCTAATTAAAAATAAAAATAATAAAAAAATACAGGTTTAATTGGAGAATTAGGAAGATGCAACTGGAGGCTCAAGAAGGACTGTGAACAAAAATAAGCAGTAGTGTTTATTAAAAAATAAGATTGTCTTCCAATTCGCAAAGAATGACTAGAAAAAGAATAGGATGAAAAGGAAAGAGCCCAGGAAATAAGAGAAAAGAGAGGAGAGTTTCTTGAGATAGCTGGACATGTGTTGGAAAGGAGGAAGATAGGGAAAATGAAGTTAGTGACACCTTGCATAGCTCAGTGTGAAAGACTGAAAAATTAAGCAGTGAGTGGAAAGTAGTAGGGAAGAAAAAATTGGGAGGGGAGTGTACGGTACATTTGATGCTGCTGATTAGAGATAAAGTGACCATGAGTGTAGTGGAGATGGGACAGACAATCGTGCTGTCATCACCCAGACAGCCTGGTTAGAGCCTGCAACCTGGAATGAGCAGTGGGGCAGGGCAGAAATGAGAGGCTGAGGAGTCCATCTGAAGATGGATGCAACTAGTCATTTCTAGTACATTGTTGAGTAGCAAGTTTATTACTTGGGCATAGTTCTCAGGTCAACTGAAATGTATTTGAACTTTCCTTTGTAAAAGTTTTTCCTTATTGTATTTGTTTGGTCTCCTTAGTTATACTAAGCTTTTGGGGGGCAGAGATTACATCTTGTTTAACTTTGGATTTTTATAGTCCAGATTAATGCCTTGGCACATTCATGTTTACTGAATGAAGGAATTCCTGCCTAAGTATATGAACCATTGAGGATGAAGATTATGTTTGTATTTAATGAAGTCTTTTTTATTTTCCCACAGTGCACAAGGCAGTACTCAGTACACAAAAGTACACAATGGGTGGCCAATTAATGCTTCAAGAATAAACAGTACATCATTAGGCAAGACAATGTTACTAGCAGTGGACACAGTATGATGGAAAAACTTGTTTTTCCACAGTATGATGGAAAAAATAAGCATAGATGGCATAGCAACAGATCTTATGTGAAGGTAGATTAGAAGATGGTATTTCATTTGTCACTATGGCCCTTAACATTTTTTTTTAAGTGCTTTATAATTACAAACTACTTCCCCATGCAAAATTTTGTTTACATCTATGTAGTATACAAGGTTATGTTAGTGGAAACTTTAGGAAGATGGCCTTAAGCAAACTGGATGTTCCCGGCTTTGTGTAAAATAGATTATCTTTGGATATTAGAATATGCTTCTCAAATTTAACTTCAGACATTTTACTGTGACCACAAAGCACAATTCAGCCAACATCAATTGTCAGATACCTAAGATAGCCAATATAATCATGGTCATCTAGTTTGTAAAGGTGCTTCCGAGAAAGAAGTCTCTAATGGAATTATACAATGAATCTTATTTTGAAAACAAGATTTTTGAAGGCTTACCTAATATAATTTCTCACAGAGGTAAAATGCAACTAGTCATTTCTAGTACATTGTTGAGTAGCAAGTTTATTACTTGGGCATAGTTCTCAGGTCAACTGAAATGTATTTGAACTTTCCTTTGTAAAAGTTTTTCCTTATTGTATTTGTTTGGTCTCCTTAGTTATACTAAGCTTTTGGGGGGCAGAGATTACATCTTGTTTAACTTTGGATTTTTATAGTCCAGATTAATGCCTTGGCACATTCATGTTTACTGAATGAAGGAATTCCTGCCTAAGTATATGAACCATTGAGGATGAAGATTATGTTTGTATTTAAAGAAGTCTTTTTTATTTTCCCACAGTGCACAAGGCAGTACTCAGTACACAAAAGTACACAGTGGGTGGCCAATTAATGCTTCAAGAATAAACAGTACATCATTAGGCAAGACAATGTTACTAGCAGTGGACACAGTGTGATGGAAAAACTTGTTTCTGGGAATAGGAATGGAAAAATAAGCATAGATGGCATAGCAACAGATCTTATGTGAAGGTAGATTAGAAGATGGTATTTCATTTGTCACTATGGCCCTTAACATTTTTTTAAAGTGCTTTATAATTACAAACTACTTCCCCATGCAAAATTTTGTTTACATCTATGTAGTATACAAGGTTATGTTAGTGGAAACTTTAGGAAGATGGCCTTAAGCAAACTGGATGTTCCCGGCTTTGTGTAAAATAGATTATCTTTGGATATTAGAATATGCTTCTCAAATTTAACTTCAGACATTTTACTGTGACCACAAAGCACAATTCAGCCAACATCAATTGTCAGATACCTAAGATAGCCAATATAATCATGGTCATCTAGTTTGTAAAGGTGCTTCCGAGAAAGAAGTCTCTAATGGAATTATACAATGAATCTTATTTTGAAAACAAGATTTTTGAAGGCTTACCTAATATAATTTCTCACAGAGGTAAGACAGTGCCCATTGTATATATTTATCTATTTTTAGAAAAGAAAAAGAGCTTCCCAGTGGTTCCTAAACACAGACATCCAAACTGCATGTCAAACTTCTCCGGCCAAGCGCCCAAGCGATGCAGATATAATGTCAGGATGCCAATTAAACTTTCTCTCTCTCTCTTTCAGTTTGAAGTCTTAATTTGGAAATATCCATAGCTCAACTTCATTTTACTTTTCTTGGCATCAGGAATTTTACTTTATTATACATGAATATAAATTCAAAGTGGAATTAAAAATGAAGGCATCCTTTAATGAATTTCTGTATTTATTGGTATAAAGCAGACTTCTGAGAGAGTCACTCTAGTGGTAGTTAATAATTAGTTCTTATCAGCCATTCTAAATATATATTTGACCCACAGAGAACTATTTTAAAATTCACCATGACCTAAAAACTATTTAGGTATTCTTCTTCAAAAAATATAAGGCATCTTAGCAAAGGATTAATTTTAGATACTCAGATGATTGACAGAGGAAAA